CTGATATAAAACATAATACTATTGGAATCCCATTTATTACTAAATATATACCAACAATAATGATCTTAAATAAGAGAATTCATATAAATGATAAATACACAAGAACGAAAAACACAGCTTTGAAATTTTTTCAAAGAATAAACAAACAACCACAACTCTTCTCTAAAATGTACCCCATATACAATCAGGAACGGAAACACCTGAAACCACTATCAGGAAATGTGTATAACTTCTCAATCAAACAAGTTCACCAATATGATAAAGAACAAAATAAACAACATCTCTTAATGTCTGACCTTGATTTCAGACCAATTCATAAATTTTACCGAGTAAAAATTTCATCTATCAAATACATGAAAGACTCAAACTCCGATATGATTTCTTTACACATCTGTAACAATTTTCTATATAAAATAACCTACCTCTAGGACTCTTAGGTTATTGTGAAACTAACGCAATAATTTCTCCCACAAAAGAAATAGCGTATAGAGTAAATAATAATGTACAACTATTAGATATACGTCAATCAACAATAAAATTGCCAATTAAAAACATTTTAAGCAACAAAAAACGCAATACTTATTAATTCACAAAAACACCATATTTTTAACCAACATTTCAAAGATCGAAATACACGGAAGAACAACAAAAATTCCTAACAATGTTTAATTTTCAACACTCTCAGATAACACAAAAAGAAATCGAACAATTAGCTGACCTATTATTAAAATACCCAAAAGTTTACGCAACATCTAAATTTGATGTTGGAAAACTAAACTCACCATTACATTTACCCCTAAAACCTGATGTAGTTTTCAAAAAACAACGAGCAAGTAAAGTCCCAATTCACTTGCAAGACAATGTTAACCGATTACCTGAAATACTAGAACAGTATGAAATCATCTCTCCAGTAAATGAAGAAGAACAGCCAAAAGATAACACCTTCATAAGCCAAAAGATAACACCTTCATAAACCTTCATAAGCTAAAAGATAACACCTTCATCGTTATCATTTTAGGAAAAGGAGAATCATTAAAAATTGTTCTTTATGCAAGATACCTCAATTCACTACTTGATGAATCTAAATTTAATTGGCCTATTGAACCAATCCAAGTAATTGTCACAAAAATAAACGGTAAAAACTTCACAACAGCAGATATGAATAGTGCATATAATCAAATGCCGCTAGATGAACAATCAAGACGATTAAAAGAATTGGTTATTGGAAATCAACAATACGAATTCAACAGATTATTTTATGGAATTTCCATAGAACCAGCAGCATTTTCAGCATTTATGAGTAAAATTTTCAGACCACTAAAACTCAATAAAAAAGCAATCACATATTTAGACGATGTTTTTATGCAATCACAAACAAAAGATGAAATGTTGGAAGCAGCCCCAGCTTAATCACACTTTTTTCTAACACGAGTAAAATTCTTTGATTATATTATAGAAAGAAACACTCTAACTTCATTAAAATCTCGCGCTGATGCAATCCAAAAACTCCAACCACCTTCAAATAAGAAGAAAATACAAGAATTTCTTGGAATGTTAAACTTCTTAAGTAAAAACGTATACAAAAATGCAGCTACACTTAAGACCATTTTACAACAACCTTAGAAAGCAGAATAATTTTGAATGGACAACAGAACATCAGAAACGATTTAAAGAGATAAAAACTCTGATTACTCAGCAATTATCAAACACTATTCCAGAACCCAATCAACCTTTTTATGCCATGTGCGACGCCTCCAAATTTGGCATCGGGGCAGCATTATTACAATCTTACAATGGAACAAATAAAATGAACTTCATTTCAGCAAACTTCAGGCTATTCACACAAGCTGAACTTAGACTCTCTACCCTTATGAGAGAATGCACAGCGATATTATATACACTTATAGAATATGAATGTTTAATACTTGGATACAAACAACCAGCAGTTTTATTAACAGACCATAAACCAATAATTTTTCTCTTTACACAAACCCAAACTGCAGAGTTTACAGATTTCAACTAAATTTCTTGAAATTTCTAAACTTACATAAAGTTTGGACAGCAGGAAAAAACCTCGCACTACCCGATACTCTCAGTAGAAATACACCACCTGAATTATTAACACGAAAAACAACAGTTGAAATACTACAAAAAAAAAATTTTCCCTTGCAAAAGATGAAACATCACCAAGATTACAATGCAAATATGCAGTAAAAATTGATATAAAGCAATCACAAATATTAATCTACAACATTAATTTACCACTATATCTGGACTGCCAAAACAATCATTACAAAGTAGATTTACTAGGAAAATCTACATTCAAACCGATATCATACTCTTCATGGATAAAAAACAACACACAACAGAAACCAGTCAAATAGAAATTATATAAAAAGGATCTATTCCCTTTAATAGAAAAAGAAAATCTCACTGATGATATAAATTTATCAGGCCCACCAAAAAATGATTCAAAATAAACAATCAACCATGTTTTGAACCTTCATGACCCACTAGATACAATACCTCTATTAAAAATAGAAGTTGAAAATTTTTTCTCCCAATAACAGAAAAAATAACACTCGAATTGTTACACCAACATCCAAACCTTGACCTAGTCATTAGACAATTAAAATCTTGGCACAAATACAAAACCAAGCCACTTAAAGCCGATACAACCATACTAGAAAACAAAACCCTTCTTAGATACTTCAGAAAATATAACAACACTTCTATCAATGAAAACACAGATATCCTAGAATAACAATCACCTAATATCAAAGTACCCTGCTTACCTTTAAGTATGATGCTTATAGTTTTTCATACTTATCACTCTTTACACACTAAAAAACACTCAGGAGCTGGAAAAAACACATACTCAAATTTCATACAAAATTTTTATTTCTCAAAAGCACCAATTTAGATAAAAATATTAAGCAACGATTGCATAAGATGTCAGTTAAATAATCCAATAATCCATACCCAAACTAAAAACAAACCGCAAAAAAAAGATTTTAAAGCACAAAATTTTTATTTCAATCACAGAATTTCTTTCGATACAAAAGGACCAATATCACCATCCTCAGAACGAAACTCATATATAACGGTCATTTTAGATGCATTCCCACACTACGTAGCACTTAACCCAGTACCTCATTGTAACGATTATTATGCATATACAACATTTTATGAACACTAGATAGCACAATTCGGTTTACCCGAAATCCTTGTTACAGACAATGGCACTGAATTCATAAATAACGACATCATTACACTATGCCACTTATATAACATTAAACACAAACCACGTACATCTCACGCACCTTGGACTAATATATTAGTCGAAGGCATGAACCGTTCACTAGATGAGTATCTTAGATGTATCATTAACGGAAATGACACACGATTTACTGAATGGACAACAGATGTAAAACTATTCCCATTATCTTATAATTCACAAATCACAACAATCTTAGGACTATCACCCTATGAAATGACTTTCAACCAAAAACCACGGAAACCAATAATGTTCACAGCAAACTCTTCAAAAAATGCACAAGGTTATTGCCAACCCACTAAAGAATCAATATGTTACAATCTACCACTACATACCCTCGATGAAGATCATTTTTATCATCAACAAATTTTAAAATTAGCTTCTGGTACACACGCCGAAAGGATTTTAAACAGAGATAAAAAAAAATTTACCAGAAATCAACAAAAAAAATTTTACAAAGACAAAATATTAATTCCCATATAAATTTCACGATTTACCCCAGCTAGAAATTTAAAAATCGGAACATATGTTTTAATTGCAAACTTTACAACACAAAAAAGAATTTCTAAAAATTACAACCACTCCGAAAAGGACCGTATCAAATAGTTGATGAACTCACTGATGTGACATACAAACTTACAAACTTAAACAGAAGAGAAAGCGTTCAAGATCGACACAATCTTTTACTTGATTACCCGAAAGAGTACGCAATTCGAGAACTTACTCAATTATACCCTTTTACAGGACTTTAAAATATTCAAAATAGCTCAGAACAAACTCAAAATCAAACCACTTATATGCACCTCATCCAAAAACAATTAGATAAAAAGGACAAAGAAATTCCCAAAAAAATATCAAAAAACGTAGACAACAAAAAGACACCTCAAACAGAAAGATAAAACTAAAAATTAGAAGAAAAAATTATACCACAAGATCACAAAGAAAAAAATCTCCAAACAGACAACCATGGCGACTTCGTAATCAGCCACCAAACAATACAAACATTCATCCCACAATCTAAAAATTTAAAGAAAATTGAATTTCAAAAACCACTTTAAATTAATTAACATTTTTACCTTCTGAAGGTATTTTCATGGAGCGAACATTTTCTCAAAATTCATGCTGAAAAGCACTTGAACAAACTAGTTCAAATTCAGCCAATAAGAAGCTTTTCCGAATCATCGCCTCATTTTTAAGACGACTTCTCTTGCCGACAAACAACCACCTTCAAGCTAATCTCTAACTATAATTATACATCCAATGGCTACATCTCACTCAACCACTGACGAAAATTCATGTCCCAGTAAAATTTCAAAAAAATACAGAAAACATTGGTGGAAAGTACACGTTTACAAGAATTATCACTCATGAACAAAACTCATTTTGGCGCAATCCACTATGACATACACTTAGACATGAAATTAGACTACACAATAAACAGAATCTTTCAAGAAATGTCTTTGACAAAACTTGAAACACTTCATCAATTATGCGAACTTGAACGCACGCAAATTTTACAATCAATTGCACTATCAGTACTTAAAATCCCTTATGCATCCCAGAATTTTTTTGGCCCAGTGAGTTTTATGGCCATATCGGCTGGTCAAAACCTACGGAGCGTGTACAGGATGTCTTAGATGACCATCTATGGCATGATAGCCGCTCACTCAACGTTAGTGGCATATGGTGGAATACCAGCCAGGATACTGATAGATGCTTTTAGCCTAATTGTTGTGATAAACTTATTAAATAGGTAAGTATTCAAATCTATTTGATAAATTTTGTTTGAATGCACTCTGCGACAGCAGAGAGCACCCCATTTTTTGAAAAAAGCAAGAAAAAAAATTGCACGAAGTTAAAAGTTAGCTTTTAGGTCAATTTTCTTCCAAAATGGCTGAATTTGCAAACTTTACAGGATGTCTTATTGACTCCGAAGACATACAATACTTCTCCCTTATTGACTCCGAAGAAAATATATTTTGGTAATACACTTGTATCAAAAAAGTATCAGCTTTCTATATTTTTGAAGATAAAAGATGCTATAAAAGAATCCCAATATTCGACAAAAATTAAAAACATTTTGTTGATACACTCTCCCGCACAACTTATTTTTGGGATACAGCAGTCCCATGTGGATCAGAAAGTAGCCACAATGTAATATAATTAAACCCTGACAAAGATAAATAGTCTTCTCACACCTTATCCTACACTCATGCAACCACTCAAAAAATTTTCACCCGAAAGCATTAGAGCTATTGCCCGCAACCAAAATATTGAATTACAATCAATCGGCAAATACTCCAAACCCGACATCCAATATCACATTTCTACACAAAAATTTCAAGAATTACTCACAAAAATGGATACAATACAACGACAATCCATAGATCAAAACCTACGCAAACTTGCAGAAACAGCAGGCTTTTCAGACATATACGCACAAGACTATAGCGGATATTTTCAAGATATAAAAGATTACATTTACTTAAATGGCGAAAAATACAGACCACAAGATATATCACCGATAAATGTTTTAAGTTTTGTAAATCTAAAACACGAACTTCTTGCCTTTCTAGGATGGTCCTACTACATCTTAGAAAGATTGACTATATTATACGCAATATTTAATTTTCTTGGATTTCTTTTCTCTCTTTTAAAAGGAATCTACAATACATGCGCAACACACACACAAGTAAACAAACAAGCAAGAGTAGCACGCATACTTTTTGCAGGATTTTTGGAATATTCTCAACATCAATCATTACAATTCTTTTAGACGCTCAAATAAAAGAATACAATACCATGTTATCAACAACACCATACACGTATGACGAATCACGAAACGATACGTATACAGCGCCAACAGCACCACAATTGTAAAACCTAAAACATAACCATCCCCTATCATTGGTGCCGCGAAATTTCGGAAAAAAACTGCCCTAACAGACCGCATAACTTTGAGATCTAATTATCCACAAAGCCCAATTCAACACATAATAACCCAACAACCCAACACAGAAGACACATACGACTAAATTATAGAACAACCACATACCACTATTTTTTGTTCTCAGAACAACCATCTTTTCAGCCCACGATGAGCCACCAAGTTGGAACCTCCATCGATCAATTTCCAACCCAGCCAACCTCCAGAACAACCTCCCCATCATCCCACTTTCTGCCTTCCCCCCACTTCAATCACCTCATCATAACACTTCATCGAGCATGGAATCAGATACTAATTCCAACAGTATATAACACTATCTCCCAGTTCAACAACTCCGATATCGAAACACCCGACAAATTTGCCAACTCTGAACCCAGTCCATCTACGTTTTCCCAACCTCCCTTTCAATCTATCCATTCCCAAGTCAAAATTGAACCCCCTTCCCCTCCCTCTCCCATTTCATATGTTACACCCACATATTCCCCTCTAACCAGTGAACCATCCGATAACAACGACCAAGATTACACACAAATATCACATGAACTTCATAACTTCATAACACTACAACAACAATTACAACACCCTCAAACACTAACTATTCACCAACTGTCACAATCTATAACATCATCCAACCCATCAACCTCAACCCCCTCTTCAAATTATACACCTTCCCAAAACCCGACTTCGTCATCAACCTCATCCTCTAGTACAAACCACGCTTACCGAACCTTTAAAAGAAAATTCGCAAATACTCCATTCCCATCTAATCCAGGAACAACCAAATCAATTGTCAATCATCCACTTCACACTAATACCAAAGAATTCCTCCAAATATGTCTACCCTTTTCCCCCAATATACGTACTTCCATTCAGACCCCAATTATGAGAAACCCAATTATGTAAATGAGCATGTAAAATACCCTACACTTCCATGGACATCTAATTATCACTTTACTAATCCACTATCACTGCCATTATATAATACCCCATATGATAAAAAAAGTGTGCAGCACCCAACTTTATCTTCTGAAAACAGTATTAACCCAAAACAATTTACGCAAATAGGATACAGACAATCACTAACCAAATTCATTGCACCTAAAGCTAATGATTATTCTATCGATTATTACACTCTCAAAACACCAGCACGACAACCTCACCATTGATATCAAAACATTAACTCTAAATACACATCACCACTTTTTCTTATGTTCACCTATTGTAGGCACCCTTACAAGGCACCCTCCGAAATTATGATCCCATCACCCAGATAATTATCTTCTGTCCCTAACCAAACTCCTAAATGTAGACAAATCCCGCCCACTAATTATCCCTCATGAATTCCTCCAGCACGTTGAAGTCTCAATCCTAGAGTTCATATATAACACTCGCTATATAACCTTATTCAAAACACACCGTATGAACAATCACCTCACACGAAGAGCACAACATCATTAAAGCACTCGAATTGCTTTGGCTACTTCTGCAAACTAAATACATCATTCGTTTGCTAGCTAAACTACTAACCTCATCTGATATCATCCACGATGTTTTTCCCCATGGCTTCTTCACCGACGATTAGGTAATGTGAATTCAATTATTTACTAATAAATTCAAACAACACTAACAATTCTTATTCAATGTTTTCCTTTTTCTTCATAGGCAAAATCATCAACCATTCACAAAGCAAAAACAAAAAAACAGAAACATTTTACCAATTCATAAAATTCTATTAGCCTATTCAATAATTGAAGCAGTAAAATTATCCCATACAAAGCAGTAAATTGATATATCAATTCTTTTCCCAATACAGTAAATATTCATACATTTGAAATTAAATTAATAATTTCAACATCCGAATCAAGCAGTAAATTTCATAATTTTAATGTAGTAAATTATTAAAAATTGTTCATAAACTGCAGAAAGCAGTACCATTCTTTTCCGAGACGCTTCTTCACTCGCCCATAAATTCTATCCAAATTCGCACTGCTCGCTCACAAAGAATTGTTTAAAATAATGAATTTAAGTTTCAACTTTCACTGATAACAACTCTAACAAGCTTTAACACGTTTCAAACTTTCCTTCAAGCTGGTTGGAAAGGATTTATATAATAATTTAGACTAACCAACTCAAGCTTACTAAACACCAAAAACCACAACCTAACAGCATGACTAAGAAAAGAAAACCCACGGTACCCAAACTGGATTAACACCAGCTTAGAACTAGGAAAGTTATTCTTTTGAAACTTTTTTTAAGTCTGAACACAAAAGAACCAAACACCAAACGCCGAAAGAAAAACCCAAAACAAACAATTTGATTTTTGAGAAAAAGAAAAAAGACTTAACTAAGACAACAAAAAAAAACACCAATAATGAAAAAAGCATGAAAGGTTGAACTTAAACAGGACCCTCCAAAACGAGAGCATGAAATTATACCCTCACTTCTGGCCTAACCCACCAGAATAGAACGCCCTGAGCATGCTCTATAGCCGGCCTCACCCATCCTGCTACATCCACGCTTTGTGACACCCACAACACTTTTTTTGACGGGAGTAACTCAAGTGTGAGTAGCTCTTAAAAATAACCGAACTAAATAATGACGCTTTGGCGATAAAAACTAATACAAGATCATGACTAAAAAACAAGATTAACAAAGATTTTTACATGTAAAAATATTACAAAGCAAAATATAGATAATATGAAGCCCAAAGACGAGCAGCGAGGAAGTTGACAACCCAATCACAGTCCAATTACGGATTGGCAAACCCACCTGACAAGCTGCCTACAATCACTACACTCAATAATTTTGAAGTACGATTTGGCATCGCAGCAAAAGAAATCTATTGCAACAGAACAATGGACATCTCGATGTTCAAGTATACGTACAGATCCAAGTTACCAGGCACTGCAACCAAAGTCGAACTACATGCCGTTCCCAAACGAGATTGAGAATAGCAATGTTCCTATCAACCAGATCAACACTCATCACAACTGATCAAAAATCATGATACGATCTCCCGAAACGATTGTGATGACAACTCTTCTTCCAGACCAGAAAAAAAAATATGCTCGCAACCTCTAAAGAAAAACACCACCATCCATCCTCCACTACAATAAGAACAGTGAAAAACTAAAACTCTCTAAAACCCGGACGGGTGGAACCAGATCTAAACTAGTATTTATCATTGGTTACTATTATGATATTTTATCTCCATAAAATATTAAATACTAACCAATCATACTACATCAAACTAACAACCTATTTATTTGTAAAGTGTTGAAACTATTTGTAGTTTCAACACCAGAACAATTTGAATTAAATTTAGAATACAGTTGTTCTCATTCTGGAACTAACTCGCCCAAACCGGTGTACACTAGATCTATTGAGACTAGAATATATAAGAGTAAGATTAAGATCGGCATTAGACTAAGAAGTTGCATGAGTCTATCCGGCCGAAAATAAGATAGCGTGACGAGCAGACGGTGTACCCTATCTGAAAATACTCTATGAGTGCAGTACAAGATACATAACTCATTTTCATCAACTTGACCGCGCTGTTCATCACAATTTAAAATGGTAAGGAGCAGAAAAAAGCCAAATATTGCAAAGAAAAGACTGTTACGCAAAAATTCAAACGTCACTATTTATATTCTAACCAGAAACCAGCTTCCACACAAACTATTGGTTCAGCTTTTCTAGAAAGAATTCGTAAAGTACAAAACTCAAAATACGAACATGATTTGTTAAAAATGATTGACTGCTTTATTGATGGTTATGGATTTGTAAATAGTTATCATGTCATTTTT